AGCCTGAATAAAACTGCATCACATCACATAGCTCTATAAAACTTTGCCAGACATTTCTTTAGAGACAATTGAGCGTGAATTATAAGGTTTCCCAAAAGCTCTGACACTGATATTCAAGTTGTTCAGTGCTGGAGGAGACCAGCATAGCCTCTGTACACTGAGTAGGTCTCCTCTACATCCCCTGACTGGAAAAATTGTTGCCTCCCAGTCAGTGTCCTAGTATCCCCTCCCTTGGAAATTGGCCAGCACAAACACTGATTTTATTTCAGCAGTAGCTTAATTCCTCCTCGTACCATATACGTAAAACCTTATTAACCTGTATGCATCTTTGAGTTTCAGCTTGTTTATTAGTGTTGTAATTTGCATTTTAGTCTATTTATTAATGTTGATTTTATGGCTTAATTATTTTTTATTAAAAATAATTATTTTTGATTTTTGATTTTATTAGAGTTGATTTTATGGCTATCCTTGAAATTTTTCATTTATTAAACCTTTTATTTATTAGACCTACCTTATAGTTTTAAAAAAGAGGTGGGGGAGGAGGAACACATGCTCTGTGAATTGCCCACTCTTCCACTATAGTTCATTTAACGCCAACAGCCATCCTGGCTGAGAGTACTGGGATTTGTTGTCCATCTGGAGAGCAGTTGGGGATAATGTCAGCTATATCATTTGCTAGGGGGCATCCTGTTTTGATGCAAGTAATTGTTGCTTTCGTTGTTATTAAAATAAAGAATACCATTATTATTAACACCCCTGTTAATCTGTGGCCGCCAGGGTACTCTAGGCATCTGATGAAGTGAGCGGCCACTCACAGAAGCTCAGACCTTTTAATAAAATGTGCTACTCACAAGAGTTGCTATCAGATTCCTTCTCATTATTATGGTATTAATAGGAAAAGAATGCAAGTGGTGCTGAATATGTGGAGTATTTTGAAATCTCAGATTTTTGGAATAGTTTGTTTTTAGTTTTTCTTTAAGGTATATAAACACTGAGCCCAGGCTCACAGTAATATATCTTACCACATTTTTCAACTAAAGTGGGTGTGGCACGGGAGATTTCTTTGCAGTAAGACATACAGCAGGAACAAATGTGGGTGCCACGTTATACTTCCACAGACAACCAAAAGCAAGAAAGCAGCCACGTAGTGTGGAAGGAGGTTCATCTGGGGCTGCCACCCCAGTTAAACAGTCCCTATTTTTAAAGTACACTGACTACTATGAAATATATGCATAATTTATTTTGTTCCTAAAGGCTGCAAGAAATTGTATCATTGCCTCATGATCAGGTAAGCTGCCTTGAACAGAAACCTAATGAATAATAATTTTTTTAAAAAGCTAGCTAAATAAAATGGTACATATTTAGCTCTTAAGAAATTATGCACTTTAAAAAAACCTGAAAAGATACAAAAAGATAGTTAATGCAATACCCCTGGATTCAAAATATGATTCCCTGGGGTTACATTCACATCAGAAAAAGAGAGAAGGTATTACCATCCATTAATGAGCCAAGAGTCTAAATCAAAACATGGATTTGGACAAACTCAAACTAAAGTGGAGCAGTTTTGTCATAGGTTCTTCAGTTTCTGTGGGGACATGGAGCCCTGCAGGGAAGGTTGAAGCCACCAAAACCAGAAGTTCTGCATGGACTACCGATTGCCAAAGGGGGCAATTAGGCATCACTGTTCAGGTTCTCATTTTCTTCCACACCTGCCTGCTGTTTCTGTTTTTCATTTTTGCATTGCAAAATGGAAGGGGCCACGTCATTGGCAGTTGCCAGGGTGGTGTTTTATGTGATTGAGGAATGTGCAGGCGTGCACACACACCGAAACACACAGACCTTGGTGACAGTGATGATTAGCTCTCAATCTGAAACATCTACTATCTAGAGAGCCTGTTAACATGAGTAATAGAACACAGAGTTTGACTTTCCAATTATTTGATGCACTGCTATCTAGCCTGCAGCCCTTAGGGGACAATCAATGATAGAATACACTTAAGGGAAAGCAGGGAGCAACACTGATTGAAAACAGACCTTCCCTCATTACAGAAATGGCAAGAGCAAACCATTCATTGCAAGACTTTATTTATTCTTGTCATCTTCTGCTGGCGAAGGTGCGAGGCTGTTAGTCCTGGAGACAGTTCTTCTGCCCTGCAACCCTGTGGCTTATGCAACATGAGCCATATCTCATGGCTCTTTCAAAAAATAGGTTACTTCTGTGACTGATAATGAACCCTGTCTCCACGTTTTATTCTGTCTGTGGCATCTCTGTCAGGACTGAGAGAGGGAAGCTAGTTTGTATAGTCAGCTAGGAAAACAAGTGAACACGAGGGGTGTGAAACTATTATTTGTAGTAATGATAGCATGGAAATCAGTGGATGTACATAAAATAAGGACAGGTTGCACTATCTTAGCAAGGTCAAATATAAATTTGGGATCCAGAAATGGACTTTGTGGTCCCTTTTCACTGCTAATGTGATAGAATATTCCAAGGCAATTTTCCTCCATGTTGGGAGGCTCCCATTTTTGAAATTAAAGATGTCTGCAATAACCTAGTCAGAGCTGGCACCTGGAATAAGTATGATATGATACCTGTTGAAGCCTATATCTCAGTGGGGCCCACGGGGCTATATGCAATAAAATGTACTTTAGTATGTTTTAGTGTGATAGTAACTGTTTTCCTGAGGGTGAACCTCAAAACTATTATCAGTTATACCCAAAATCAAGATCGCACATCTTGTGGCTCTTCCAGTGTTTTGGAATAGCCCCCCCCCCATAAACTGTTCTAAATATTTTTTATAACTGTTAATGTGACAGAAGGGGAAACGCATTATAATGTATTTAATTAATTTGTAATTAAATCCTACTTTACATTAAATTAATTTGCAGTTATGTCCTGGCTCAAGTCATTTTTAGATTGTTGTCTTGAACAAGCTACTCCAAAGCTAAATGCGGTCCTTCACTCTCTACCCTCCCCTCCCCAATACTGCATGCCCCAAACTTAAAAAGATGAAGTCAGCTTTTGAGCATTAAGTTGTTCTTAATAGCATTTCTGAGGATGGCTTTTTTCAGGCATTCTGGAAAAAAAAGAACTGGAAGGGGAGATGGAATGCACACTGTTTCTCTCCACCCCCTGAATTCCCAAAGTTAACAGAGGAAGCCTGAAGTGGCCTTAGTGCTGCGTTCAGCCAGATGGGGTTGCAGCGCTCTACATAATGAGAAGCCTGTCCATGTGTTCTTTTTGTTAAGGCCTGAAAAGGGTAAATCCAACAGTAAATATGTATGCTTGAGGCATAACTGCACTTAATGGTCGATTGTACATTCTCTAACTTTTGCAGAAGATCTTGGTGAGCAGTTGTTTGTTGGAAAGCAGCAGGAATGTCAAGATCAGTATTGGGTTGAATTGCTGACTGCTTAAGGTGTGATCAGGCAGATTCTGTATACATTTGGGGATTGACTCATTAAGACTATTAGGATCTGTGCAGATGTGGGCTTCTCTGTTGCTGCATCTGTTCTGAGACACGCCTGAGAGTGCTGCCCTAACTGGTGAGTGAGCCACTCATGGCAGGGGAGATAACAGTTGTCCTCCTTGGCTTTGCTGGCATCCTTTCAGCATGTCACGGGGAGGATCTGACGTCAGGGCTCTCTGTGGCTTCTTGAGGCTGGCTCATGTTTGTCTCACTTTCCATATCCCATTTGGGTATCTCTTCTTTTATAGTGTTGCAGCCAATGACAAACCTGTCTCGCTCAGGGGTTGGGAGGAGATAGAGGCAATGTCATGGGGCCAAAGAGGGAAATTGGTTGTGGCATCATTAAGTGCAAGTGGAGACAGGACCAATGCTTTATGTGCAATTTAATTGTGGATGTCAGTGAAGCATAATGTTGAAGTTAATAACTAGTTCCCAATATCTTATTTGCCCAAGACATTGAAACAAAAGTCAGTTAGCAGACTGAACATGGGCCTAAAATATATATGATATTGCACCTGAAATCCAGCATAAACTATTTGCCATTATCAGGATACTCTGCCTTTCAAGACACAATTGTGCTATCTAATAAAAAAATCAGTTTTGCATAACTAAATTCATCAGAGTCTGCTAAAATGAGATTGGATTTCATGTCCTCTAGTTCTGCGTGTTACATTTGTTTGCTTATTTACTTCTATAACATACTTGATACAGGAAAGTAAAACACACTCAATAAGGAACAACAGCAAATTGAGCAGGGTCCTGAGGATCTCTTCTAGAAATATTTGTTTATATCCTGATTTTTGTTCTTGGAGGTGAATGCTATGGATACATAGTATCTAATCTTATACCGGATACTGATGAAATCCCATCTGTTTCACATCTGCCAGGTTGTTATATATTCTGTCTGTTATACGTCATACCTCTGTGGAAAAAGGTATTAAATCAAGGCTGATTTGACCCAGTCCTGTACAAATCCAATAAACTGGGCATTCACCATCACAGTGAAGTTCTCACTACACATCTAGAGACATATCATGTGCAGCTCAAAAGGTATTTCTGAAGACCTCTGTTAAAAAAAGTAACTGATGCTTATCAATCTGGAAAAGGTTACCAAACCATTTTGTAGCTTTAGGATTCCAATAATCCATAGTCAGAGATAAAGTTTCAAAATGATTTTGGGCAATAGTGAACCTTCCCAAGAGAGGTTGTCTTGTCAAAATCACTCCAACAGCACCACAAAAATTATCCAAAAAGTCAAACCAAAAAATAAACAAATAAACAAATCCCCAAACAACATCTTTGCCTCAGCTAAAGGCACTGTTCATTGTCCATAACTCCATCATCAGAAAAATGCAGGGTTAAAATGGCATTCATGGAAGAATGGTAGGGTGGAAGTTACTGCTTGCTAAGAAAGACACTGATGCTTATCCAAAATTTGTGAAGAATCATCTGGAAGCCCTGATCTGCTTGGGCTTCAATGTTTCTTTCTCTGATGTTTCAATTTTCTGCACTTCTGTAATTTCTTCCCAGCACTTGATTCCAGGCATCGAATGATCTGTTCCTGACTTCAGTGTTACAACATAATGACTTCATAGA